AACCACAGGAATTACAGCTGGAACCACCATAAAAGAAACTATTGTCTTCACTGATGTACCAACCACTAAAAAGGCACTGGAATCCACAACATTCACATCAGGAATATCTAAAAGTGTCACATCTGAGGATGATTCAACCGCAGAGACTGAATTGACAACTATAAGAATTACTAATCAATCAACTACACTATTTACACCAGAATCAACCACGGGAGCCCAATCATTTACTAAGATTCCTGATTTATCGACTACTGATTCTACAGGGGAACACACAACAGGAATGATATCACAAGAAATTACAACTAAAGGAATTGCTGGTCAGTCAGCTTCAGCCATCACAACATCTAAATCCACAGCTATAGATACATCAACCATGGATAGTGCAGCAAAATCAACAACAGTGACCACAACACAACCTGAGGTTACCACATCCAGAACTACAGCAATTACAGAAGAATCAGTGACTTCAGTGGATAATACACTGGCTACTACTGAGGGCTCTACCACACTTATAAGTGGAACCACTGTCTCACATGAAAGTCCTCTTTTTTGTAAGTTATCCAAACCCATATTCACGTGTTTCATATGATACATGACATTGCATAATATTATTCAGAGGTTATGCATTTTAAATGTTACATTTCCAGGATTGGGCAGAAGGTAGAAAGGACAATACAGTAATTCTGGTAGCCTTATTATGTATTATGTATTGGCTATGTATTTGCTCTGATTGAAGCTAATATCTATTTGTTCATTGCTTGACAACAGCGCAACGATCTACAGCACAACCACTAACAGTTGTAGTGGAACTCACCACTAAGCCTATACTTGACACAACTGCAACTGAATCTTCAACACCACCCCAGGAGACAAAAAGTATGCCGACTACAGCCTTCACAACAACTATCCAGCATGTCACTACTTCGCAACATACACAAACTACAATCCAACCTATAACAAATGCCCAATCAACAATGACTACATTGCAGATTGAAACAGGAACAGCCCAACCTACTTTCTCAACAACTGCCCAGCTTACACATACAGCTCAAACCGTTACTTCACAATCTACACAAACTGAAATCCAACCTACAACTAATGCCCAATCCACAATTACTACACCACAACTTGCAACAGCTACAACCCAGCCTATATTCTCAACAACTGCCCAGCCTACACATACAGCCCAAGCCATTACTTCACAATCTACACAAACTGAAATCCAATTTACAACTAATGCCCAATCCACAATTACTACACCACAACTTGCAACAGCTACAACCCAGCTTATATTCTCAACAACTGCCCAGCCTGCACATACAGCCCAGACTGTTACTTCACAACCTACACAAGCTGAAATCCAACCTACAACTAATGCCCAATCCACAATTACTACACCACAACTTGCAACAGCTACAACCCAGCTTATATTCTCAACAACTGCCCAGCCTGCACATACAGCCCAGACTGTTACTTCACAACCTACACAAGCTGAAATCCAACCTACAACTAATGCCCAATCCACAATTACTACACCACAACTTGCAACAGCTACAACCCAGCCTATATTCTCAACAACTGCCCAGCCTACACATACAGCCCAGACTGTTACTTCACAAGCTGAAATCCAATCTACAGCTAATGCCCAATCTACAATTACTACACCACAACTTGTAAAAATTACAACCGAGCCTATATTCTCAACAATTGACCAGTCTGTAACTACTTCACAACCTACACAAACTGCAATCCCACCTATAACTACAGCTACATCTCAACCCAACTCAGAAATAATCCAACCTCAGAGTACAAAAACAGTTGCAATCCAGTCTACAATTATAACTCAACCGACATTTACCACAACTGCCAATGGTACCAACAAAGTCCAGACCACAACTACATCCCAACCTATATCAACTAAAATCCAGTCAACCTCAACATCAAACCCTGCAACAGCTACAACAGTTAAACAGTCAACAATTACAACCCAGCAGATTACAACAGCTACAACTGAGACTCAGCTGATGGCAACAATGCAATTGACAACAAATTCACCCCAACCTACCAGTACAATTCAAGCAGCATTTGTATCTGAAAGCAAATCTACAACTACAACCCAACCTATAACTCTTACAATCCCACCCACCACAATTACAACTCAGACTACAGCTGCAACTACATCCCAACTACATCCCAAACCAACTTTTACAAACCAAATAACTACACAACAACTTTCAATCAGTACAACCCAGTTTACATCTGCTGCAACCCAACCTACAACAAATGCAATACTGCATTCAATCCCACCTGTATCCTCTGCTCCAACTGTAACACACCCTTCAAACCAGCCTACAACTTCAACTATACCTGCACCTACAACCCAACCAAAAACAACTGCAACCCACCCTATATCTACAACTACTACCCTAACTACAAGACCAAACCATCTTGCCATCACAACTACAACTACAACCACACCTTTACTTGAAACTATAGTGGAAGTCAGATTTTCCAGCTCAGAAACGTTTGATCCTTTACTGTCTGACAGAAAATCAGATCTCTTTAAGAAACGAGGGGAAAAAGTCAATGAGGAGGTATGTGACAAACATTTGCATACTTAATAGTGTAGGATGTAGTTTTGAACAGCCGAAATTACAAAGTACAGTACAAATGTTAATGTATACTAGAATTTGGATGAAATGTAATGTAACAACAAATGAATCACCATGCTAACTCTTCCCAGTTTGAGTTTTTGCATTTTTACTAAAAGTGTCATATCTTTTAACTTTTTTACAGTTTGAGCCAATCTTTAAAAAAGCATTCCCGGTCTTCTTAAGACTGATAGTGATTAGATTCAGGTGGGTAACAAACATATATAGTGTCCTTAACTTCATCCTAAGCCATACCTTAACTTATGTTGATGAAATCACATCTTTAACAAAGACCTTGTCTTTTCCCTTTCATTCTTGTAGTCCTGGATCAATCATCACAGATATGAATTTGGAATTCAAGAAAGACACTCTTTTGCCGAGTGACAATGAGATCATACGTGCTATCACCAGTGCCAATACTACATTTAATATCACCAGTGCAGAAGGTAAAGCCAGTCAGTTAAAAATAAAACAGCACTGGTTGCACTTAGGGTTGCAAAGGGGTGGAAAATTTCCAAAAATCCCTGGAATATGCCAAAACATCCTGGAAAGTTTCCAAAATTTCTGCAATATTTCCGAAATTTACTGGACATTTTCCACCTTTTTGCAACTCTAGTTGCACTACTTTGGATGATGCGTAATGTGAACCTTTCTCTGAGTGTTTGTTACTCGCAATGTAAATTTGTCCCTTTGTCCCTGATTCATTGTGGTGTTTTACTTTAAAAATTGATTTGTTCACATGAAGACCAACATTGATTTTCCCATTTTATTTTACACCTACAATACAATCTGCAATTCAACCACCACCAACAGTTATGCCAAAAGCTGACCTTTCCACTACTACCAAACATACTACAACCACGACCAAGCCCACTGCAGTCAAAATAACCACACATCAAGCAACAACATTGACAACAAAAACACCAACAACAAAAGCCACAATCACCACGCCAACAACAAAAGCCACAATCACCACTCCAACAACAAAAGCCACAATCACCACGCAAACAACAAAAGCCACAATCACCACGCCAACAACAAAAGCCACAATCACCACTCCAACAACAAAAGCCACAATCACCACGCAAACAACAAAAGCCACAATCACCACGCCAACAACAAAAGCCACAACCACCACGCCAACAACAAAAGCCACAATCACCACGCCAACAACAAAAGCCACAACCACACCAGCCAAAACCACCACCACATCAGCAGTTCCAACACGCCCTCCACCAGTTGTAACCATAGAGTTGGTCATTTTAGTAATATTTATTCCAGACCTTCAAAACACGCAAAGTGTGGCATTTAAGAACCTAGCAGACAAAGTTCAAAGTGAGGTGAGTCTTAAACAACAGACACTTTCTTGGGGATGTAGTAGTATGTGCAAGACATTCTGTTTGTTTTGCATTGTTGCTTGTTTGGTTTTCATCTTTAAATCAAGTTGAATTTAGTATCCCACTTAGTTTCCCATGGTGATCTTTTGAAAATCATTTTTGGCAACTAATTCTTATGTAGAGGAAAGTATAACATGATCATTTAATCCTTGTATGTGACATTTAATGACATTCCCAAAACTCATTCTTCCGTAGTGTGACAAAGTATACAAACTGAAGTATGGAGTTCTTTTCGTCAGGACTATTGTGATTGCTTTCAGGTGGGTTTCTAGTTCATTACTTAATTCAGTTCATCTAGTTTTATTAAGAGAATCTTTAACAACATCTCCTGCATATAGACTTGATACATTTGTAAGAATCCTGAATCTCTGTGACACAAAGGGTCCATCCATCTCAAGGAGTTCAGTGGAGGTTGTTTGACCAATTTTAATTCGTTTTGCGTGATTACCTCAACTTCAACAAATTAGTCCTCTATGATTCTGCTGTTAAAATGTTATTTGAGGTCCCAACTTCCAACTAATCAACTTTGCAATTTTTGGACCACTTGAGATGCACTAACCCCAGTTTTATGGAATATGTAAAAGACTTAATACACGTCTTCCACACTGACAGATGTAATCTGTGAACGTGTGATTCCTTTCAGAGCTGTTGCCAAAACCCGAGCACAATAAAATGTACAGGCAGAGCTTGAATTAGTGTTTAGCCAAACATCCACTGAACCGATCCCCAGCAACACTGACATTGTGGAGACTCTGAAAGAAGCAGCTACAACTCCAAATTCAGGCTTCAACCTCACTCTTGATGCCACCACTATTAATGTCGTTAGTAAGTTGAGATCACAATTGATTTAGAGTTTTCTGATATACCCAATTTCTAAGATTTTACTTTGTTAACATGATTATAATGTTCTGCGCAATTTGTGATACTTTAAAAAATCAATTTCTTTTTGTAGAATCAGTGAAGATAATTCCACTGACAATCCTCACCAATGGAACCTTTGTGGCTGCTCTTTCAAATAAAAGTTCTACTGAATTTCAGAACAGGGCATCGATGATAAAAGCAGGGGTGAGTGTGATGTGTCTACTTATGAATTTTGGGTCAAATGTTTTTACAAAAGAAAGCCAATTTTGTTGAACAACTCTTGTTTTGCAGCTCGAACCTTTTTTCCTCGCTGATTACCCTAAATCATTCAGCACCATATCCGTAACAGACTTCAGGTATGAATATGCTGGTGCATTCTTGAAAATAGCTACTGATTCAACATAACACTCAGTTGCATTGATGAATCTTGATTCCAAACTCTCTCCAGTGATGCCAGTGTAAAATTATGGAGCGTGCCCACAATCCGAAACTCCATGGATCTTGTATTTGGAGCGGACGCCGTTCTACCTAATAGCACCCAGATAGTGAACACTGTAGTTCGAGCAACTAGAAACAACACGTTAACCTTCCAGATCTTCACTTCTTCAATTGTGGTAAATGGTACAGGTGAGTGATGCACTTTGACCTTGCACTACACTCTCTAAAAATAAGGCTTCCAAAAGGGGGGTTTGCAGCAAAGCCTTAGAAGAACCATTTCAGTCAACAGTTCTTAAACGAACCACTTCTTTTCTTAGTGTGAAGAACATTGTAATAATCTGAAGAACCCACTATAAAGAACCTTTTGTGGGATGGAAACCTTTAATGGAGTGTACAGCAAAAAATTGTTTACTCCGATAAGTGTTCATACTTGGATCAATACAATCACGTAAATGTAGATGTGTTTAGACAAAGTTCCACATTGACAGTGGATGATAAATATTAAGTTCTGTCTGTTCTGCTGTGTTTTCTTTTGTGATGCAGAATATTCGTCCGGTGAAGTCAGCAGCAGGATCAGTGTGTTGACCGCTTCAGTTCTGGTTGCTGTGTCGCTTCTGGTTCCACGGTTTAACTGACCGTAACCACTCATGCCAATATAACTGATTCAGACAGGTCTGAATCATCCTTGCCTTCCACGCCTGCTCACATGAAGGACTCGTACATGTAAACGAACTCTAAATGCATCAGTTTTTAGAACTGAATGTGTCTGTTTTTAGCTCTGGTTCTGTATTCAGAACAGGCTAAAACATCTCTAGACATACAAGCACTTTTAGTAATTTATTCTAAAAAATAGACTCATATTGTCATTGGTTTCTTTTCTGATTAACGTAATCTGCAAATCAAGGGGCATTTCATTAAAGTCATTAATGTATTGTTCGTTAATTCTGTATGTGTTGTAATTGGATCAGTAAAACAATTAAGTGGGTACAACTTTACAATCTACAAAAGTATAGTATAAGCTACAACAACCACATTTTCAACTGAATGCTATTGTAATATTGTAATATATATATATATATATGTATATATATATATAAATATGTAATATGGCTCAAAAATATTTTGTATAGTGCACCTTCTTTTTTTTCTTATTATGCAAGCAAAGAATGTGACAATATTTACATGTGCCAAATACAGAATCCCTTGGACAAACAAACATATATACTGATAACCAACATTACAAGTCCATTCTGATAACTCATGTAAATGTATTCATGTGTCTGTGAGCATGTGTGTGTGTGTGCGCGTGTGTGCCTATGTCATTGTATACTGGTATCGGTATCAGGCCCGATACTGAGCTCTTGTACTTGTACTCGTTAAAATGCCCCGATACCAAACGCCGATACCACACAGCATGTGATAAGTATATGTTCAAAAACATTTTTTTTTTTGTGCTTTTCCCTTCTATTTTCATCTAAGTTACGTATAAATTACATATAAATGCTATATGTAATAAAATATAAAATATATAGAATATACAGTATATAAAAGTTTGGGGTCAATAAGATAAAAAGTGCTAGTAAAGACATTTTTAATGTTACAAAAGATTTCTATTTCAAATAAATGCTGTTCTTTTGAACTTTCTATTCATTAAAGAGTCCTGAAAAATAAAATGTATCACAAAAATATGAAGCAGCACAATGGTTCAACATTGATAATAGTCAGAAATGTTCCTTCAATAGCGAATCAGTATATTAGAATGATTTCTGAAGGATCATGTGACACTGAAGACTGGAGTAAAAATTCAGCTTTGATCACAACAATAAATTACATTTTAACATATATTGACGTAGAGAACAGTTATTTTAAATTGTAATATTATTTAACATTTTACTGTATTTTTGATCAAATAAATGCAGCCTTGGTGAGCATTAAGAGACTTTGTTCAAAAACATTAAAAAAATCTTACCAACCACAAACATTTAAACTGTAGAGAAAACACACACTTATCTCTCTATATATAAATAAAGGATAGAGATGATATATAAAAATATATAGAAATATAGAATAAAGATTAATTTGTACATTTCCATCAGGAAAAATTCTGAAAATGTAAATATATTAAATAAAAATTAAAAAAATTATTTGGAAAAATATATAGTTTTCTATTTTTAATGTTCAAATAAAAAATTTCAATTAAAATAAAATGTATATATATATATATATATATATATAAATATGTAATATATAACCATCTCTGTTATATCTAAGATAATCTCTGGTAAAACTATTGAAATGTATTACATTTGTTAATTTATTTGCTGATCTATAAAAAATAGGGGTGTAACGGTTCAAATTACTCAAGGTTCGGTTTGTATCACGGTTTTTTAGGTACAGAAATTGAATAAAGTAATGAATGTAAAATAACATTGCATATTTGACTACATAAATTGACGATTAATCCTTATTAAAGATACTAAAGCTATTCAGTCAAAAGCAGTGAGTGATTTCCTTGTCTTTTGTTGTTTGATTAGGCTAACATTAAAAACACAGACAGCAGGAATATAGCGGCTGTCATTTTAAGACAATGTACGGATCCAGTACACTGATACTGTATGTTTAACCGACTATGTCTGCTAGTATACTCACCAAGACGGGCATGTTGACATAATTTTTGTGTGAATTTGTCCATTCACGCACAAGTCTTGAAAGAGAACTCAATATTTGCGCGTGTTCTGAGACGCACGCGGGTTTTGATGCTTCGGATGAGCGCGCACACAAATCCTCTCTTCTCATTCGCGTCTTCTGGCTCTTGAATGTTTAAACTGGCAAGGCTTAAATGTTTTATGTGTTGTTATTTTTTAACAGGCCATATTACAGATGCGTTGTGAGATTTAAGTTGAGCCGCAGTGCAAGTGCGTGCCGAACCGTGGCTGGAGAACGGCACAGTTCAATGTTTTACCGAGAACTGTTACACCCCTAATAAAAAATTATCAGTACCAAAAATGTCACCTTCTCAGGTTTCTTTTCAGTTCTCAGTTTCCATTTTGCTTTCTCAGCTGTCATATCTACTATCAGATTCTACATCTCCTGCCACAACCCTGTCTGTCCAGTTTCTGCTTAGTTCCTCATTGATTCATTAGATTTTTGAGATATTGAAAACAAAAACTTCAGTGTGTGGGTTTGATTCTATCACGATTCTTTGTCATGTTGGTTTTTCTATTTCGCAAGCTGTTTGAGCATTACAGCCAAACCAATTTCCCTATTATAAAGACAAAGCCTTTCAAGGTAACAAAATATTAAAAAGTATGGCGGATATTTAGGCCAAAGTGGGTGAAGATAAAAATATTTGTCATTATTTTACCTTTGTTATTAAAAAATGAGAACAAAGATACACATTACAAATACACATAATATACAAATATAGCCTACTGTCCCTTTAAGACCTGCACGCATCTAATATACAGGCACGCATCCGTTTCTCTTAGTCGTTTACTTTCATTTTAGACATAACCAACTGAGTCTATACATAAACCTTGTGTGTTTTGACAGTATTAGCACAAAACAGTAATAGTTATAATAGTAATAGTTCAGTAATCAGGCACTGTTTGACGGGCGTTTTCGTTTTCGTGCGCGCGCTTTGGGTGTGCTCAGAAAAAGCGCTCATCAGAACAGCACACGAATGAAACGTTTAACAAGGCTTTAAAGCAGATGCAAAAAAATTTACTTTATTATTGTGAATAATATTAGGTTAATTTAGAAATATGTTTGTTAAATTCAAGATGTTGTTTTTTTTAAAGTAACGACCAAGCGGGCAGCGGCGGACTGAGTTGAGCATATTTTTGATAAATTTAGCCTTCTCAAATCAACATGACTTGCCTAAAATAAAATCTATAGACATAAAACACTTCATGCAATTCACAATATTAATTAAAACACTTAATCTAGATAAATGTGTGCTGTTAGACGCATATCCAGTCGTTTGTGCGGAGAGTGGAAGCTGAAGCGCGCTCTGCAGGACATGGAGGCGGCAGCGCGATCACTTGCATTTTTTTCTTAAGAGTGGAAACTTAACATACGCCGTCACTTTTGCTCATAAAGTTAAGAGTAATACATCATTCGGAATTGTAAAGGGTCTACTTTTATTTCTGTGCACTCACAATATCATCAAAAACCTGTGCTTTTGTAAAATAAAGAAAACAAACAGGATGCGCTTTCTGTCGTCTTGGTCTAAATAAGATTAACGTCATAATATTTTAAGAATAAAGTCTAAATTACGATAATAAAATCATGTTATATGCGTGAAGTTAATGTGAAAATTCCACCTATACTCCGTCAAAAATAAAATAAATAAATAAAAAGTCTGTGGCATTGAAGTGGGAATTATTCAATTTCCCGGTCAAACTCCACATATGAGACAACTGAATCGATATTTTTCTCAATATCGCACACCCATAATATATTTAACATTTTTATTTTTAGAAAAAATAAATAAATATGAGAAGTACTAGTTTAACAAAAAGATTTAAAAAGTGAGTCTACCTCAAACAAAACTGTGAGAGAGTAGGAAGAATGTCTATTTATGGATAATACAATTACCAAACAAAATAAAGAAATTGGAGATATATATTTCTCCATGTATTCGACATGCCTGTTAGATCCTGTACCCACTAAATTACTGAAAGAGTTGTTACCTGTAGCAGAAGAACCGCTTCTCAATATTATTAACTCGTCGTTGTCTTTAGGTCACGTCCCAAAACCATTCAAGCTGGAGACTTACTGGAGGTGACAGTAGTAACAAATAATAAAGACTGCAAAGACAGGAGGTTTAACTATATTGGAGTATGCATTAGATCAAAACAACTCAAAAACTTAATTTGCATTAACGTGCACATCCCAATTTCCCACTAATACAGATTTCTAAATCTTTCCAAAATAATCTTGTGTAGATACAGTGATAAAACAAATGCAACATGGTATTTAAATCTCTGGATAAATCCCTTTCGGAAGACACTTATTTTACTTTGTTTTTGATAGGCTTGGGCTATTTTTCCAAGCTTTGTTCCAATCTGAGACCGGAAATCCCTGTGCAGGAACGTTTAGAAGAAATCATACATTGATTTAAAAATATATATTGCGAGGCCCACAAAGTATTACATGCATGCATTATTAAATGTGACTACTAGCGTCACGGCTTTAGACCAATCAGAGGGGTCGCTGAGCGTCACGTGACCCGATCCGGACGTGACCCCGAGTGAGTGAAACGCCGCGCGGTGTCCGGTGAGCGGAGCGCGGATGTCCTGCGTTCGCTGTTGAACGAGCGCCTCGAACCCGCGAACTTCACAAACCGGGGTCCGTTCGAGTTCAGCGGCTGTCGGTTAGAGCTCTCGTCTACAGGTAAGCGCGCCATTAAACCGCTCGTTTCCCTGACGACAGCAGCGGTTGCCGAGGAGACCGCGTCTTGTTTACATTAGAATGAGCTTTATCAGAATCAGAATGAGCTTTATTCTGCGAAGAATAAACAGAAAAACATCAACATATGAACACTTTCACATATACTGAGGTGTTTAACACGCGTAATGAGTTTCCAGTGAATACTACCGACTCTCTTTCAGCGTCTGAGACACAAAACATGATGCTTTTTAAAAACCCGGCCGGTTAGCATCACAGCTAATGCTAACAGTAACTGTTGTTGTGTTTATCTGCGAGCTAACGTGGTGTTCTGATTGTTTTTCTGTTGTTTTTACTCCGGTTTAGCGCTTTTAAACATACACTGTTGTTTATCTAACGTTATGACACACCAGAGATACTTTTCAAGCAAAATGGCACAACTATCTCACTAGTTAGCTAGTGCACTCATTACAGAGACAGTTCTAGGGTGTTTCAGAATGAAAATCTCATTCATTCCTTAAATCAGAATCCAACATAAGCCTTTATATTTCCAGTGTATGATTATTAAGATAACACTAAACACCGAGGTTGTTTAATAACCCTGTGAGCTGACATTATTATGTAAATACATAAATGTTTATTATGTTGGGCCATT